ACCTCCTGGACGTGGCCCAGGTCAAATTAATTTATTTCATGTGTTGAATTTCGTCTATTAAGAAAATTCAAGAAATTAATGAAAATGGAAATAAATTTAAATAATGTATGTAAAATATTTAATTTAAAAAACTAATTGTTTTTGGGGAAACCTCCTGGACGTGGCCCAGGTCAATTTAATTTATGTAATCTCGCCTATTAAGAAAATTACATAAATTACTTAAATTAAATTGCAATTAAATGTGGCCCTGGTCAATTTAATTTATTTAGTTTATTTAATTTCGCCTATTAAGAAAATAAAATAAATAAATTAATTAGATTACATTGCAATTTAAGTAATTCAATATCAAGGGTAATATATCAAATGATACCGTTAATTGAAGAATTTACAACAAAAGGCCTCCGTCTTCTGCCGTGGCAAAGGGTCGAGGTTTAAGCCTCGCCGTCGACTCCTTCTGCTGCTTCAGCCGGTGCGCCGCCGCCCGTTGGCGCGACCGCTCCCGCTGAAGAGCTTGCCACACGCTGTCTCCCGGTGCACGGCCCTGGCGTATGGCCGCTAGATCCGCAAGGAATCTATTGGAACGCACCTTGTGGGAGGTCTGGTCCTCCTTGGAGTCGACGCCGATCCACTCCGAGGTCACGCCCATCCAAACGCTGGCCGCCTCCTTGTAGTCCTCGGAACTCAAGCTGTCGCTTAAGCCTCCGGCGAGGCTCGTCCCAGACTGCTGCAGGAGCTTAGCCTTGACTACCAAGGAGCGGTGTACTTTCTCACGTACCTCCAGCAACTGGACCTTGGCCGCCAACCCGAGTCCCTGGTAAGTCGAGGGATCCTCAGCTGACGTGTCGGTCCTCAGCTTGTCACGCTGGGCCTGAGCCAAAGCCGTGCGCAAAGTGAGCGAACTCGAACTCTGCCGCAATGCTTCGCTCGTGGTAGCCTTAACTATGGAGGAGATAAGGCGCTTAGCGGGCGTCCCGTTCACTGCCCGGTTAAGCATTGCAACAGCGACATTCTCAGTGTCCAAACTTTCCGTCAGGAACTCCTCGCGGGCCGTCGTGTTCCCTCCCTCCGACGCCTCTTGGAGTCTGGCTACGTCCTGTTGGAAGTCTGGCACTTCGTCGTCCCCCTTCTTCATCAACGCCTTAGCCTCCCTCTGACTTGGAGGTAAGGCTTGCCGAACCTCCCCGGCTCTGGGGGGGAAACCCACCACCAGAGCCCAGGAGGCCGCTCCTTCAGTTGCAACCACTGCAGCGGGCCTCCTTTCAGGCGATCTTCTCAGGCATCGCCTTCGGGTCTGGCTTCGCCTCCTGCTCCGCCCTTTTTGGGCGGCACCTCAAGGTCTCCTTTTTTTCTCTTTCCTACCTCTTTCGGTCCTTGGTTGGCTGTCACTGCTTTCAGACTTCGGACACTTCGCCCGACCTGCTCTCTCGACTACGTCGGAGTCTCAGGAACCGTTCGCTCCAAGGAGCTCGCCCTCTCAACCTCCTCCCTTGGCCTAAGTAGCGCAGGGGAGGCGGCAGAACCAGTCCCTTTCTCACCTGTCCTTGCAGGTTCCACCAACTCTCATTCTTAGCGGGCTTTGTCTTTACCGCTCCTAACGCACTTGAAGCCCCTGTTCCTTCCGACAGGGCCTCAACGCACACAGGAGCAGCGCGCTTCTTTGGCTTCGGCGCGGCCACTTCTCTGCTAGGCGCAGGCTTAGCCTTTGCCTCTGGCGGGGCCGGCTTGGCCTTCACTTCCGGTGAGGCAGCCTTCTTCTTACCCGTCCCCCTTCTCGGCGACCGCCCTCGGGTGGGTTCCCGTCCTCTGCCGCGTTCCGCAGGTCCGGGCACCCTCTCCTTCAGAGGTTGACCTAGCAGCCTTCCTTGCATCAGGGATGACTTGCTCTGTCTGGTAGTGCGTGAGGGTAAGTAAGAAACGACAGGAGGTGCGATGGAACTACGCCCTGCACGAGAACCACCCTTTCTTTCCCTCCGGTGCGACAAAGAACTTCAGTCCCCACCGGACGGCGCCGCGGACATCAACCATTACAAGCATGTTTCCGGTTGACCGAGTCAGGGCCGGATCCACTGCCAAATGACTATTTTGTTCCTCAAACTTTCCTGCGTGGAGTGGTAGAGGTAGTGGGGTAGTTTCTTCTCCTTCACGGCACGCAGCGCACAGGTCGGCTCGAAGTTCTCTAGAGACCATCCACTCGTGGCTCTGTAGTAAATTTCCGTGCCTTCCGTGCGCTGCTCGAAGCGGTTGGTACCCCTTCGCCGGTCCTCTTCGACCAACTCCCGGATCCGGGCACGGGTCACCTTTGCTGCTCGCAGCTTCGGGTTACTGGTCAGTTAAACTCACCAAACCACCCTTCGCTGTCCCAGGAAACTTCTGTGAACTCCCGAAAGGGCACGTCCCTGGTCATGATCCTTCTGGCGCCTCGTCATCGGGGTGGCGCTACGGGCTCGGTACGAGCCACCCAGCCGCGCACCCCGGGACTTAGACTGCCCTTTTAGGGGCTGGACTGGCAAGTCCAGCTCCCTTTGGTCTTCTCTTTCCAGACCTTCGCGGTCTGTCTTTTCTAGACCTTCTCGGTCTCTTTTTTCCAAACCTTCTAAAGGGGTTTCAGCACCGCTAAAGGCGTTGTCCCACCTAAGCCCCTTCAGCTCAGCCAGAGGTTCTTTTACAGGGAACCCTGCTTGAGCCCCAGACGGCTGCGGCGGCTGTCTAATTACGGCTAAACAACACAACACGAGAACTACCCACCCACCTAGGCCTTTTTTGCGTTCGTCCCTTCGTACCGCGAGTCGGCGACGCGCGAGCCTCCGCGCAGCATAACCACGCTCGCGCTGCTCCGCCCGCCTACCACGTTTTCGCTGCGCGCCGCGCTCCAACGCGCACGCGCCTCTAACGTCGTCAACCCACGGAACGGCGCACGTCCAAACCCGCGACGCCCGGCGAGCCCCACGCAACCAACCACGATAAGCGGCGCCAGCGGCTGCGGAAACGCAGCGCGGCAGCACGCTCCACGCGCCCGCGGCTGCAAGGCAGCGCGGCGCGGCCCGTAGCCATCCAACCCAGTCGCCCGACCACACACCAGAACGCTCCTGGTACGCGCCCCCACGCCCGCCGCGCGGCACGACCAGAGCACCCGTACGGCCGGCAACCAACAGCCACAAGCCACACAGCACCAAGAACACCAAAGTAAGCAGACTGCAGCCCTGCCCATGCGCAAAAGGGTGGTTTCGATCTGCTTCTGTTGTAAACTTCAACTCCTTCGTGCTTTTGCCTTTCTTTGGCTCGCTCGCAGGTTTCGACTTTTCCTTTTCTTTTCGTGTTTCCACGCCGAGCCCTCGAGCGCTGAAACCAGCTGCTTCGAGAGCCTCGGGGACATCCTGGCAAGATTCCGGAGAGGTTCTTTCAGTGACAGCGGTCCTGACGCGATCTGCGACTTCGCTATCTTTGTACGCAACTCCCCCTATCATCCTGCCACTTCGGATCGTATGGTCGTCAACGTAGGCCAACCATTCCGAAGCTGCCCGTGCTCGGCGTCCGGATCCTCTGGCGTAAATGCGATCCATGACGTAGGCGAAAGCTTCTGGTCCGTTCACCGGTCCGAACGTCAGGCAAGTCGGCAAAAACTGCCCCGACCGAGTGACCACGGCCAGGACGCGTCTCGCACGATCCGAATTCTGCAGCTGATTGAATCCCGTGACTGCATCGACCATAGTCAGCCACAAGGATCCAGCAGCCTCTGCAATCACTTCCCAACTCTTGCGGCTGAAGTATTGTGCTCGGACCGTTCGGGCATTGACGCGTCGATAGTCAACGACTATCCGCCTTTTCCTGCTCTTTTGGTGAGCTCCAGCTTCCCTCGTCGGAAAGGCTGGACTTCCCCAAGGGCTTGAGCCTCGGACTAGTTGTCCTCGCGCAACCTCTTCGTTGACCTTGTCATCGATCCACTGTGCTTGTTCCGGAGAATAGTCAATGACGTCACGGTCCTTCTCTCGGCAAGCTACCAGCAGTGGAGCCAAGACCTGGTCCTTTCGCTGCTCGGCGGCCCACGTCAGCCTCAAGTCAACCCCAACCTTGAACTCACTTCCTTCCCCAAGCTCTGAGCGAGCCCGTGCTCGTGCCCTACTGGCTTCGTCTAGCCACCTTTCCGGCGCCGAGCCTTCGTCAGCCGGGCTAACCTCCAAGGACTCGGAGAGAACCTCTCCCGCGCCCCTCGGACCAGCTTCGGAAGAATTGCAGAAGTGATACGGATCGGCGGCGACCCTGGGATAAGCAACAGCCTTTCCCGGTCGCGTGACTCCGCCCCCAGGATCGCATAGATCCGGTGTTCATACCTTGGCTGGTTACCCGGACCTAACGTCTCGAACTTCCAGTCCCAGCCGCCCTCGGGTCGCTCTTCGAACCACATCACCTTACTCTCCGGCCCTTTCCGGAACCGATCGGGCACCGTCTCCCAAGAGATCATCAAAACCCTCGCGAAGTGACTTGTGTGAAAGCGAAAAACCCTTCAAGCAGCGGTTTGCAATCATTCGATGCTTCATGGAGACCTCCTCGATCCACAGCATACTGCACAAGTTCTCGCAGCAGCTTCGTGAACGAGCCAATGCATCGTCCAGAAGGGATCACCCGGTTTCCGGCGCCACAAACTCGTAAGGTCAAGCGGCCAACACGGCCGAGCCACATGGCACAACTCCAAAGCAAGCTTCCCTTCCAACGCAAACACCGTCAAGCCAACTTCGTTCCTCCGCCCGGACGGCTTCTGAACCAAAAGCTGACTGCCCCGCTTCCACCGGACAGAGATACCCCACTCTTCGGGGCTCCCTTCAACCTGTCTCTCCCAGCGGGGTGCTGGATCCACTCCAGCAGGCCAGGGACGCACCTGCTCAGCTCCAGCCAAGACAACCACGCCTGGGTCGGACCCAGCCTCAGGAAGTACTTGAGCCCTAGCTTCGCTCAAGTCCTCCGCAATGCACTTCATGCACTGCCCGAACAAAGCGGTTCGGCGTCCGCGCGCGCAAACCCCGTTATGCTCCCAAGCTTCCTTGGTTTCACGTTCCAACCAGGGACCCCATGCAGAGGTACCCATCGATTCCGAAACAGTCGCCTTCAAGGCTTGCGCGGAGTACTTTTCGGAAGCACCGCTTCGACTAGCCAGGGCTCCAACGGATGCTCTGCGCACAGCTCGGGGCACGCTTCCCAAAGTACTGTCCATCCTGGCTTCGCTCTTCCGAGGCGGGGGACTTCAGCAACAGCAAGTTTCACAGCACCCCACGCCGCTGCCACCTCTCGGCATTCATCGCGCTGAAACACTCGTGCCAACAGCGCGGCTTCCACCACGACTGGCTTAGAAGCCGCCAGGACGACGACCGCCCCCTGTCCTCTGCCAACCACTACCGCAGGGCGGTGCGTCACCAACTCCCTCAAGAGCTTGGCCACAGAGGTAAACAGGTCAACGCGCGCAGCGTTGGCGAGCTTCCTACCCGTCAGCCTCGCCTTACCTTGCTTCTCGAAGTGTAACCCGGTCCCTTCCAGGTCCTCAAAAGGAGGCTCCCCCAAGGCAACCCGGGCTTGGAAGCCGGGTAAGCTGCGGGACAAGACCTTGCTCAACTCCGTCGTCTTGAGCGTTCTCTCGGCATGCGTGCAGTAATCCGGCACGTAAAGCACCTTCAGGACCGGAATGGCCCCTGAATCTGCCATAACGCGCGAAAAAGAACAGACAGGGTAGGCAGAGACCGCATCCCCGCCCCCTGCGCCCGAATCCTGGTCGATACGACCCAAGGACCCCGGGCGCACAGTCTTCCCCGTCACAAGGTCTTTGGGCTCTATGGCCGACTCCACGTCACTGAGCAAAGACCAAGGGATAACCCTCCTCAGAAACTCTTCCAAGGAAAAACCTCTCAGCTGGCCTATCAGCCCTTGAAGGTCCTTGGTCCTCTGAGCTAACAGCTCATCCCTTTCTGGAGGATTGCGGGAAAGTCCGTCTGCGAGCTTGGCGGACCGACCACTCAAGCTCCGCAAGACTGAACCATCGGCAAGCAACTCCGATAACCATCGAAGATGCTTGGGCTGGATCTCTTCGCTCGTTTGCAAACGAGTCAAGTTACTATGATCCGTCCACATGACACAGCGCAACGGGCCGATCATTCCCTTCACCGCTCTCCGTACTTCCAGTTGAGCATAAGTTTCCAAGCTCAGCGGAGCCCACGCCTGTTGCGGCAGCGTTAGCCCCGTCGAGTGAGTAGCCAACACTTCAAACCCTCGCAGATCCTCCCGGAGTTGCACAGCCACACCTCCGACTGCGTAACCGGAACTGTCTGCAACTTGCTCCAAGGGCCTTTCCCCTGTCACCGCTGCCACTTCGTCCAGGACCGAAAGCTCAATGGTCCGGCGCGCCGTCAGTTTGATGGCCCTCACAGCAAGATCTCCTGGAGAGTCCCCTGGTCCGAGACCCTGCTCAGGGAACTCCTTGGCCGCTTTTACGTACTCTCCAAGAATCTTTGCCGCAGTGGGCGTACTGCGGTTGCAAGTAGTACCTCAAGAAGTTAGTGCAGCCTAGGAATTGCTGCGCCTGGACTTTCTCTCTCAAGGGTGGAAACCTCACGATAGCCAGTGTCTTTTCTTTTTGCGCTGAAGCTCCTTTCCTACCGACCACGTGTCCTAACAATTCCCCCTCCATAACGGTGATCTTTGCTTTCTCCACTCCAAAGCTCACGCCAGCCATGATTGAGGTATCGAGGAACGCCTCGAGGGTCTCAAGATAATCAAGCAGGTGAGGGTCAACCTTGGGATGACGCAACCCCATGTCCGACCTCAACAGGCTGTAATACGTGTCCGTCGGGAGAGTCTCAGCCAGTCGGGCCATGCTGCTCACATCTTCCATGATGTGAAGGACTTGATCTCCCAGCCGCTCTTCAGGCACCAGCCAAGACATCATAGCCCAAAGCGCAAAAATTGCAGCTAGCAGCTAGCAGTCGAACGGAGGCCGCGCACACTGCTCACACCCTCCTCGCACTAGACTCTCCGTACGACTTCTGCGCGCGTCACAGCGCGTGTCCATCTCCGGACACCACGCCGCCCCATGGCAGCATGTGTCTGGAAACGTCCAACGCCATCACCGCCCCGCACTCGCAGCAGGCTTTCTGCACTGCGACACCAGGCGTGACGACCGCTACCGGGTTTCCTTTCGTCGCACTGAAACCATTCTCCGTGGAAGCTTCCAGGAAAATGATCCCTTCCTCTTTTCCCACTGGCCACAAACCAGGGGTGGCCTCAAACTCAGTACCCGGGAGCTGGGTGGGCAACACCACCCCAGCCCCACCAGGACTTCCGCCGAGGCCCTTTTCAGGGCTCTCCAAGCAAACTCCCACCCAAGAACCTACGTCACCGGGGTCCGCTTGGACACTCAGGCCCTCACACGCCGGGTCGCTGGACCTTTCGCACGAACCCATGGTCCACATGGTGTCGTACACGGTCTCTTCGACGGCGCAAAATGGGTACGCCTTGTCCTGGCCAGCGTGGGCTCCACCTCTTCCAGCCTCGGAAGGTGGACGTCCACAGCCTCCAGAACGTGAGCGGTGGCTCCTGGGTAGTACCCTAGACCTCCCGATCACCGGAATCGAGGGATCTTCCACCCAAGATCAAGCCATGCCACGTGGAGCTCCCTTTCTCAAGATCTTCGCTCTAACCAGAATCTCCTGCCTTCTCGGCTTCCTTCTTCTTCTTTCGCTCCGCCTCCACCAACGCTTTGTCGTGACTGTACTCGCACCTATCCTCGATCCGGCAGCTACCATGATCTCGCGTGTTGAAACACACCTTCTTCTTCTTGGCGTTCGCGTCCAGGGCCAAGGTCGACTCTTCCGGGTTTCCTTGCCCTTGCTGGTTTCTCTTCTTCCGTCTCCGATTTCCACCGGAGTCCTCGGGCGAATTCGCATCCTGAGGACCTCCCATGGAAAGGGACGAGTTCTGCAAGGCTCTCTGCCCGGCGTTCATCGCCTCTATTTCCTGGACCTCTACTCTCTCGGTAGCGCTTGTCCTTCCGCGCTTCGCGGGACAAGTGGTCCCCGATTTTACGGAGGTACTGGATCAGGTTCTCACGAGCCGTCATCCCCAGTCCGACCTGCTCCCTTTCTCCGAGCCTTTCTTCCCACAGCACTTCCCACTCGTAGGCGGAGAGCCTTCCTTTCTGAAGTCGCTCCCACTCGTCGAGAACCCGGAGCTCCTTCTCTTCCCGCGTTTCCGCGAAAAGAAGGTGTTTCTGCTTCACAGCCTTGTACACTGCGCCAGGGTCCTCCCTCAACGTCCCATCATTTAAGTGCCTTTTGTAGATCAGCTCGTAGGACTTCAGTCGGTGCTGGCGAAGGCAGGCTTTCAAGGTCACAAGGGCTTCCATGTCAGTCATGCCTTCGCCATCGTTGGCTAGTGCAATGGTAGCCTCAAACTGCTCGTAAAACTCCTGCATCGAGCACAGGCCATTGCGCCTTTGGCGTGACTTGGATCGTGGACCTCTTAGGAGGCTTCTTTCTTGCAGGATCTCCGTCTGCTTCTTCCGAAGAGGAGGCACTCTGGCCTCCAGGCTGGTGGCCGAAAGCCAGCCCCCGCGCTGGAGCCGCCACGGCCGCGTTTTCTGACGCTCCCTTTCCCGACGCCGTAGCCTCAGGGCCCTGGAAGAGAGGCCGAGCCACGGGTGGGCTTTGGGGCACCCTGACACGGTCTGGCGTGCCTTCCTCACTAGAGAAAAGCTTGTCAGCATGAGAGCTGAGCTTCCCACCATGCTCCTGGATCATTTTCACCAACACAGAAAGGCTTCCTCTGGCCTTCTGTGGTGTCCGAGCCATCGGCAAGCTCCTCAGCAAACCGCACCTTTAGGTGACGAAGTGGATCCGCAGCTCCACCTAGCTCACCTAGTACTTCAGCTCTAAACAACAGACTCTCAACCGTCCCTTCGGGCAACGGAGAATCTAGAAGATTCAACGCTTCACTGATGCGTTGTACTCGGGCTGAGTAAGTAGCAAGATCCTCAGCAGAAGGAACAAAGGGCAACTCCAGCTTGGCCTTCAATTTCGACACCGCGTCCGACCCATCTCCAGCTGACGAGCTGAGTCTAGACGCCGGGGGTGACGAAACGCCACCCCTCGCAGCCGCCTTGGGCGCGACTCCGGGCAGGTCTTCGCCTGCATCACCCTCCAGCAATTCTTCATCTTCCGACGATGGCTCTAGCTCGGCTATCTCTCTAGCCTCCAGCTCCACCTTCCAGTTGCTGCCGTAGACCATTTCCATGGTGTTCCTCCAAAGGTCAGCTTCAAAAGCTCCCGAGGTTCCTGCGCTATCCTAAAAACACAGCAGCAAACCCTGCGGCACACTTTTGCCGCTGCTTGCGCTAGTGCGGTCTTGAGCCAAAAGTGAAACACACAAACAGCTACGCAAACTACGTTAGAAAACTACGGCAGGACGAGCTACACTACAGCCTACACAGCTACGCGTCAAACTAGCTACCTACAAGCTACGGGTGGCTACAGCTACTTAGAGGTTCACAGAAGATAAAATGGAAACTACTGTATTATATAGGGGTTATATAGAAAGAAGCAGCAACATGCCCTGGGAGATGGCATTACAGTCAGGGCCACTGAGCCCTTGAAGCTTGCCTGTGAGCGTCATTGCCGTTGCTACAGTTGTGTCTGCCTGCCTGATTCTAAATGCCATCATTGTCCAGCTGAGGCTTCAACCCTCAAACCTACACCTTGAAAGCCAGGGCAATAAGCTTCTCCTGGCACTGGTATCATGAGTCTCATGCCTATGATTGTAATCGGACTTTGACTTCTGCTATGGTTGTCACTTAGAACTTAGGAGGACCCCCAACCCTGTAATAGTCGTATAATAGGAATATAAGAGGACCCTAATATAATCCCTATTATCCCCTATAGTCACTATTACTATGGTTGTCACTAGGAACATCCTAAACCCTAAACCCTAAGCCCTTAAACCCTGAACCCTAAACCCTAAACCCTGAACCCTAAACCCTATCATTTTGGCATCTCCCAGCTTTTGGTTTTTTGGTGGAAGCTGCGACAGCGAGGCCATCTAGGTTATATTGGGATAATGGAAAATAAAATGGAAACCACTAAATTATATTGGGGTTATATTAAGCTACTATAGTATGTAGGTCCAATGTCGTGACCCCGTTGGCTGGCTTAGCCCCTGTTACGTAGTACACTCTCCAGATCTCAAGTTGTCCTTCAATATGCGGGGTGGTTATATTGGTTTTCACCATGTTGGTAAGCTAGCAAACTCCCACATAGTCCATCAGAGGGTTTCTTAGGGGCTAATCTCACCTCCTACGGCCATGCTGGGCCCTGAAAATACCTCGCAGCATGTGTGACGCCCTTGACGAGCTGCGCTCAAGCACACGACGACGTAGATGCAAGACAGTATAGACTATGCCAACTTTTAGCATCATCGCCCTGGGCAGTTCTGCTTTGCGCGTGAAAATGCTTGGGGTCTGTACTCAGGCTCTCTACCCTGAAAATTGCGGTTTCGAGAAGTAGCATTCTGTGTACATGACTTAGGCAAGCATGCAAGCAGAAGACGTGTAAAGCAGTGGTTAATCAACAAATGTGTGGTTGTCAAAATTATGGTCCCACCTTGGGTCCCTATTAAAATACGGCACCTAATATTTAGGATAGCCAAAAAGGGACCAACATTTTGACAACCACCCAAATATCCACCTGACACCCTGATCGTGATCAGCAGCAACTTTTCAGACACCGAGGCGGGGGTCTGGGCCTGTGTTTGGGTTTGGGATTGCAGGGCGCCAGAAAATTCAACCATTTGAGGGTTTCGCGGGCACTTGGGGCTATATATATATATATAAAAGAGACACTGCTTTGAAATATTGAGTCTGAGAGTTGAGGATGTGGGGTATGGGCCTCTGCCATTGTGTTTACTTGGTACATGAGCAACATCATGGACCATAGCACGGATAAGCGCAAGACAACAGTTGAAATGAGCGTGCAAAGAAAGCAGATGTCATTAGCAAGGGAGATCGAGGAAGTAGATTTGGAAGTGCCTTTGCGCGTCATGGCCTACTTGTTCTGGTCTTGGAGGCCTGCTGGGAGTTTTGACTTCTACTACAGGCACAGCAATTACCAGAGGCACAGCTTTTGAAGTCTGCAACTTGCGCCTTAGCAACTCTTGAGAAAGCAAGGTGCGCATGAAAAAACAGCTGCAGCTAGCAGGATATGCTGCCCAACACAACTGCGCGTAGCAGCGCCTTCAAATCAATTGAGTTCCCAATTTTTGAGGTGCATCAGCGGAGGCGCAAAATGTTGTAGTTTTGTTCGCTTGTACAAGGCTCACTAGTGCATTTCGGATTCTCGGGACCAGTACGTGTCAAGTGATCAATCATCAAGCTGGGCCTGCATGGGTTCGCGGTCTGTCGGAGCAATGCGATTGCGTCGCCTACTGTAGAGGCCTGCAGCACACGTGCTCAAGCACTAGACTGAAGCTGGCTGCGTGCTTTCTGCGGCATTGTACTTGTTGCTTGTGGTTTGCAATGCTTCTTGTGCTTGCTCTGCTATAGGTTGATCCGTTGGCACTAGTCTAATGCACGTGACTTCACCGTGAATCGTGACCAAAAGCCCTGTCTTGTCTTGGGATGTAGGCTGATATTTGCCATTCTTCTTACAGAGGATAACATAGGCCTTCAAACCTGCCCTGCGAGTCATCTGCAGCGTGTTCGCGAGGAGTTGTCGGGATGTCTAGCGAAGCCCTGGGCCAAGTTGCAACAATTTGCAACCAAAACGCATGCCAAAGTCTGCAAGAAACGCTGCGGAAGGATCCCCACTTCTTTGGCAAAACTTTACTCGAGGTAATGTGCGCTGCAAGTTCTTGATATCCGCCGCCTCCAACTCAGCCTCCGCCGCCACCGTAGCAGCAACAGCAACAGCAGCAGCAGCAGCAGCAGCAGCAGCAGCAGCAGCAGCAGCAGAAGCATTTTTGTCACACTTGGCCATCGCAAGCTTAATCTTTGCTCCCTGTTTTCACGTGCTTTGCGACTGGAAGCCAGGTAAACGGCTCTGGATCAAGATGGCAATCCATGCAGAGAGCACAATCGCGTCTTCCTCAGCGGATGCTCACGCTTTGCACGAGTGGCCATGGTAATATCCTGGAATCGTGGTGATTAGTTGG